TCAAAGTCCACTTCAAAAGGAGATATTTTATTTAACAGAAATCACTTTTCAAAAACTACAACGAACGACTCGTTTGGACTACAACGCATATTTTCTGGGATTTGTGATATCACAAATACCGACGAATGTTACGAGACCTGGTTGAGCTGCACTAGAGAAGGCAACGAGTGTTATCACTATGTCGGAGACATTCTAGCTTTCCCAAGGGAGACGAACTTAGAGTGGTTACAATCATCCAGGTTTAAATCACGCTCAAATTGGTTTGATTTTGACACAATATTTACACTGAAGCTCGCAGGCGGCTATGGTAAGGGGCATGACATTTCCCGACCAGACGCCGAGTGGAGCCAATCACAACACACACTGGCCCAGCTAACCAATCACAACACACACTGGCCCAGCTAACCAATCACAGCACATTTCGTATTTCGGAAGGCGGGCCTTCATTTGATACAGGCACTATTCGAGCCGTTCATGCCAGACTGGGGAGAGAGGTGTTGTAATAATGTAAAATATGTGAAAAATAATGTGTTTTTCGAACAACCTAGTATGAGAGCCTGTTCTAGTACACCCCCCAAAACAAAATCAAGACTTTGTAAAAGAGCATAATAGGACCCCTTTAACGGTAAGGCTTTGTTTAGGGTGAAAAACCCTGATTTCAACCCTGAGCTCCAAAAACATATTTAATGGTTTATTTCAGGTTGATACCTGATGACTTTTCATTATCTTTTGTGAACATGGTTTTAACATAACCCTCCATGAAAAATGTTACATTACTTCTGTTTGGGCTCTTAGAAATATGAATATAATGCAATGTTGCTAAGATTTTCTGCAGCACACTCTTACAGTCTTCTTTATTATTTATGGAATCTTTGTAAATGATTTAAGAGAAATAACACAGTATGCAAAGATACAAATAGTCAATCCCCCCAAAAAACATGAGGGTTTTATTTTCCAATCACCCGGTTACAGTTTCTTCATGGTCCAAAACAGTTTCTTATTTTTTGCTATTACTAACATTAGCTTTAGAAAGATAGGCGCAGTTGTGGGGTTATTGGATTGTGCTTATGCAAGTTCATACTAAAGAGCTGCACTTTAGCACTTGAATGTGTCCCAGAGCGAAAGCAAATCTGCAGGGAGAAAGAAAAACACAATATCTGAATGCAGAGGAATAAAAACAAAGCTTATGTTGAGCTTGGCACAGTATAGACTAGAGCTTTGAAAGTCAAAGCACGTGGGGGAAAAGAACAGTGAAATGCAATCTAATAGCAGTAAATATTTAAGCACTTTCAAAATTCAATAGAAATTAATTTAAAAGATAAATATCAAATATTTATTGTGCCAAGAGCCTCTCCATTCATGCATGAAATACCATTCGTATTCTCCATGGCATCATCAGAGGGTGCCGTTGGGGAGAATGCCAACCATCTTGGAAACAGATTTGTTTTAGCAAAAAATGCAGCCTGTGACTTATCCCCTAAAGGCAAGTTAGATTCAGCAAGAATAAGGCATTGTCAGTCCACACAATGGTTAAAAAGCATGTAGAGATGGATAATTATTCCGCAAGCAACAGCTAGTCTAAGATGCAATGATGAAAAAATATTATTTATCAATTTTAATTGAGCCCAGGGGATTTTTAGAGATATTGATACTCTATTGAAGTCTAATCTAACTTAAAACTTAGTGACATACCATGTTGTTGTGCTCATAGTCGGTACATTTGGAAAGACAGTAAAGAGTTATTATATACAGTACGCACTAATGATGCATACCATACAAAGGGGGAATTTGCCCTGAAGGGCCATGTTAACTCTGTCAGTGGGTGTTGACGTGGGCCAAATGTCAGTGAAATGTCAGTGAGCCTACCCTGTGTACACATCAGTTCAGCTGAATGAAAGAGGCTGTGTACCCCACAGACTACTCTTCTTTCACTGTCCTTCACAGGGACAGTTGAAGGATGACAATGCTGCAATTAATACTGTGTGAGACATTCGGTTTAAAATGTGACCTTGACACTGTTACCTATTTTGTGCACTGGAACATACAGTATACTGATCAGGTTTTGTCTTTTTCAAAAACAACCCTTATAGGTGATGCCGTATCAGATGAGACTGTGGGAGAGCTGTGTAATGCATGCAGTGGTCTCCATGATGCGCTGACAGAGAGAGGCATGCTGGGAAGGCAGTTTAAAAAGAGGTCCTCCATCCTTAGAACACTCTTCAGGCTTATAGATGTGGGATCGGATCGACTTAACCTAACATTAGCCAAACTTATTCTGGCAGTGAGTATATAGACACACACACACACACACACAATATGTCTTGTATTAGGTTAAAAATTTGGGTACTTATTCTAATCGATTCAATAAAATTCACCTATAAAAATCTGGTAACCTTTAACAATAATACTTCTCGCACATTACAAAAATAAAAACAATTTTTACAACTGTATTTACCAACTATTTTTAAACTGAAAATTATTGTTGCAGTATTTTAACTTTTTTTTTTTTTTACATTTTTAAAAACATTTTAAGATTTTAAACAGAAGTGTGGAAAAGCACTTCTGTGTGCTTTACTGACAAAGTACATCAAAAAAGTTATTTTTTAGAGTCTGTGCAGCTGCATTTAACAATGAAATGTGTCAGACTTCACCGCAAACATAATTGCACATTCAATAATATCAATTTTGTTTGCACATTCCACAACACTTACTCATGCTGACATTTTGCAAGCATGTTCATGACCCTAAATGAGATAAAGTCACAACATTTCAAGAAAAACATTATAGTATTTTTGAAAACCCCAAAATTTAAATGGGCCAACTACATGATCATTTACAAGGTCTGATCTTAAACAGCCTCTACTTTGTAAGATAAGAGGAGCCTACTAGTATATGTAAAGTTTGAAATCAAGCAGTAGCCTTATTGCTTTTGTCTGTATTACAAGCTCAATGTGAGTGGAAACAACTTGCTGAACATCTGCAAACTCGTCTTCAAAATCAGCCGGAACGCTAGTAATGACGCCCTGTTCCTCAACGACGGCATCCTAGGTTGGACCTGATTGTGGCATTACTCACCAAGTTACTAAATTCAGTCAGTTATTATCTCCAGCATCAGCCCATTGTGTGTATGTGTGTCCACTGTCCACACACAGACTCCCTTCTGACTCTGCTCCACTGTGAGGATGTGTGGAGTAAAGGTGAAGCCGTGCTGTACTGTGTCGGCTCACTGAAGCTCCTCTCAGGGAACAGCGCCCTCTCCAGGCTGCTGCTTTCTAAAGGCTTCATCGGTGTATTGCTGCAGCTGTCAAAGAGACTGATGCATGGTCCATCTTCAACTTCAGCTAACATAACTTCTCACAGGTCAGAGGCAGAAGGTCAGCGTATCATCGCAGGACACACACTGGTACAGGTGAGTAATCGTTGATAGCTGCTTAGATTAGGCAGGAGTCAAGGTCAAGGTTGCTATATTGTTAGCTGTAACATGTTTTCAGTATGGCAATCATGTTCGCAAATACACATATACCCAGATACCCTAAAGCAAAGGAAATCACAGACAAACCTTTACAAATCTTAAAGGGATTGTTTATCTAAAAATTACCTGTTTGGCTTGCTTGCCTCTGTGGAACACAAAAACAGATATTTTAAAGAACGATTTTGGTTACCATTGACTTCCATTGTATGGAACAAGAAACACTTCTAAAAATGTCTTCTTTTATGTTCCACAGATGAAAGAAAGTCATTCAGGTTTGCAACAAAATAAAGGTGGATAAATTGTGACAGAATATTCATTTTTGGTTGAACTATCCCTTTAAATCGCAGAAAGGACTTTTCTGTGATGTATTATCATCTTTTTTCTTTTGTTGTCTCAAAACAAAAGATCCCATCGTGCATATATCCACAGTGACCGAGGTTATGTGCTTCCCCTATGTGCTGGAACAGTGCTTTGTGCAACACACACACGCACACTACCATAGATAAACAAATAGGTTTGCATTGCAAACACTGTAAATCTGTGTCTTGAAGACTTTAAAACAAGAGGAATTCAGCATGCTTGAACCCCACCCGGACGTTTCTCAGAACTCTGCTCTGGGAGCGAAAAGGAACAAAATATGAGCGTTTCATAAGGGTGGGGTTGCATGGGGTCGAATAAAAGGGCGGATTTTAATGTGCTTTTCCTCTGCTTTTGTTTTTGCTTTTGTCTGGGAGGATACCCTTTTCCCACTTCTCCGTGTCCATATTTGACTTCATATTCCTCCAGCACAAAGTACGTCTCACAGGAATGATTTAACTCTGCCCAAACAAACTTCCTGAACTCGGCATGCATGGTTTGATGTTCAGCGCCAATTGCCGTGCCACTCATTAATCTGTTGGCAGACGGAAATGAGGATTTTTATAAAAGTACGGCCCAATGGGCCAAGCAGCTCTAGCAGGCACCCTCCATGTACCCTAATTAGTGTCTTGTGCTCTTGATGGATAGATTTATGAGGCCACTTTAAAGACCTTCCGTTATTTCTTCTTGATTATAAGTGCTTCCTTTTTTATATGCATCTCTACCCATTAGGCAGTAGTACACACATGCACACCTGCAGCACAGTCCCTCATTCAAGCTCAATCGCCAAACACACATACTCGTACATTTCTTGTGTGTATGTGTGTGTTTTTCTCAAACACAGTTGCTCACAGTCTTGACCTCTTGACCCTATCTAGGTCACAGCAGCTTTGAGAAATATAGCTGACCAGTCAGAGTCTCGGCCTTCCTTCCTGTCCAACAAAGCATTCTCTACTCTTTGCTTAATTCTGGAGAACCACTGCAAAGACCTTGACATCTGCATTAATGTGGCCCGAATATTCAGGTGAGTCTGTCTGTCAGTTGTCATTGTGATATGTATGTGCATTCAAATGAAGTTAGTGTTTAGAATAGCGATTCTAAACCTTTTTAACTCCAAGGCCAATATGTTTTCAAGTGGATTTTTTAAATACTTTTTACCTAATATATGAATTTTATAGAGCTTGACATAGCTATAAAAACATATATATATTCTAAAAGTGCTGATAGAGTTATAAGATTTATTAATTAATTACATTACTTTTCCTGGCATAGAAATCACATTTGGATAGGAGTACCTCATATTAATGACTGTGGAAGTTAAAATAATTAAATTAAGGATAAATATAAGTGTAAATATAAGTAAAAAAATATGTATAAATATACATTTTGTTTTAAATACAACAATACAAATAATTTAGATGGCTTTACTTTTGTTACATTAAAGTATTCCATTTATGAAATATCATACATCAGTATCATATATAAATATTAGATTTTTATAAATGAAACACCGTATGTGTATGTCTCATCACATCATTTACGTATTAAAAACAGCTTTAAAAAAAATTGAAATTAAATGAGAAATATCTTGATTTTTAGTAATTGTAATGTTTTATTACAAATTATTTGAAGTAATCCGGAGTTCCCCTTAGCAGTTTTCTTAGGCCCTGTAATTGGCCCCGGCCCCCTAAATGAGAACCACTGGTTAAAAACTTTGTAATGCATGCTGTAAAATGCATTTTAAATATCCGCCAACTGAGGTAAGTTCTAATTTTAGTTTGAGGAATTGAGCTTTTTGATTAATGTTGATAAAGTTGTACCATGTCATGTGTGTGAATATGCTTGTGTGTTCGGTCTTCAGCAAGCTGTCCACCTACACTGAATGCTGTCATGCACTAGCTGAGACACCACGTTGCTGCGGCCTATTTTTGGACCTGCTAAGCAAACACGGCAGGAAACAGGTGAATTTGGCCCAAGTATATGTACACTGTCCACACACGCTCAGACATATGCTCAAACAAGCATACACACACATGTAAGCATATAGGCTGCATGTTCCGCTTTCTGCTCTTAAGTGAAACTTGAGCAGTGGTCTATGAAGGTGTGTGTGTTTTTCTGTACAGACAGTTCAGATGTTCTTCTCTCTCTTTCCTTCTGGCACTAAGAGTAATGAGATCATGTGCTCCCAAACTCATAAAGAATAAACAGTTCACTGTGTACTAGGTATCATAAGCACAGTTCCACATACACCCTGTGCCTCACATAGGGACATACTGTCATCTGGCAGAGGTCTCTCTCTGCACCCCACTTTTTCATACATTCTAAAAGAAAACAAAGGAGTTCTTGAAAATCAGTTTAAACCATCTGACAAAATAAAGTTAACCAAAGACTGCTAGATTCACAGGAGTTTCAAGTGATTTTTTGCATGGGTTTAGTGGACCATCAAATTGCTAAACATCAGGCCTGTAAATCTTTAATCCTGATTTATCTCACAATTTGTTTAGAGTTAACATTAAATTTCTTTTAGTAAATAATAGGTCTGTGTGTAATTATTAGTATTTGTTTGTGTGCAGTATATTTAATGTAAATGTATGCAACTTGTGCTTTATGGAGAAAAAAAAACAGTTTACACATTTCTCAAACTGCTTCAGAACACACAATGATAATTCAATAATGAGAATCTTCCCCAAATTTTATGGTACATATTTTAGACATGTATGCTGCTGATCTGCAGTCCTAGTGTTTGCATAGTTATTTAAATATAAGCATAGAAATACATATATAGTACGCTATGGAGTGTTACGTTTTTGAAAAAGAAAAACGTTTTACAAATAAAGTACTTAAAATATATAAATATAAAATATAAATTATATAATATAAAATAAGTATAAACTTTAGTAGTATATATCAGGACAGACAACTATCACAAAAAAAACACAGCTGTGGATCTTTCAGGTAACAACACAGTATTACGAAGTATATGTAAACTTGAATGGGGTCATTTTTATAAATTCAACTATTATTTTCGCTTGTGGGCTTTTATGTGAAATATCTTATTCAGATCAGTACTAAATAAACAATAACATGCATTTTGTATGATCCCTCTTATTTTGGTAAAAGAATTAACATTTAGCAGATTCTGCAAAGTGTACATTTTGGACTTCGACTGTGTGTGTGTGTATATATATATATATATATATATATATATATATAATATATATATATATATATAATATGATATTCCACCTGGCAAAGAATCTAAATTACTGTAAAGTGGGATAGATAGATGTAATCATTTATCCATTAATGCCAAATAAGTCAAATTGAAAAAATGTGTTAATATATGTATATGAATATTAAATGTTATATTGCATGTATTGTCTTAGACCTACTAGTAAACACACTTGCCCTCTGTCTTTTTGTATGTGCAGGATCTAGTAGTGCGTCTCCTGTTCACACTAGGAAATCTGACAGCCAAGAGCACTGAAGCCAGAGAGAGAGTCTATGAGGAGGAAGGCGGGATAGATGTCCTCTTAGATCTTTTTCAGGTCTACCAGGAAACACCATCGCCCCCTAAGCAATGCCATGCCCCTGAGAGAGAGGACGTCCTGGTCAAACTGATCCGACTGCTTGCCAACCTGGCCATCCATCCCACCGTGGGCACGGCACTGGCTGCCAACACACTGTGTGTACAGCTGCTGCTGGAAGTGCTGGGTACAAAACATAATCATGAAATATACGCACACTCCTCTAAGTGGTTAATTAGTTTATAGTTCATTCAACAACAACAACAAAAAAGTGTTTACAGAAAACCCACTGGGAACGTACTTCACAGATACTGTAGTGCATTCACTCATGCATTGTCACTCTCAAAGCACGTGATAAATGCTTAGCAGAAGCGATGTGACTTTAAACACATAGCAACACAGATGTTTCGTTTACTTCCTTGAACTTGAATGAATGTGCAAGTTGGTTGCTCTGCACAGTACAATCACATGCTGTTCTCTCCACGTCAGTTATTGGCATAGGCCCTCAAGTTGCTGCATCCTCTCCAATGACGAGAAGAGCCAGAATGTAAACTGCATGTTTTTATTATGCATAGCTCTTTTTTTGTGCAGCCTGATGTTCTCAGAGATGTTGCACTGTGGTTTGATGGTGATGGATGGAAGCTCGGTTTTGGTTCTGCATGTGAACGTTTCAGAAGCAGGCATGTTAGTGTGAAGAGGTGGTTATGCATTTCCCTTCTGAAATAGAGAAAGAGATTTGTGTCCTGTGGAAATATACATCCCGTGTCATTTTTAGAATGTGAGAAATAATATTAAAACTTTCTGCTCGATTCCTGCAGTTAGAAATGAGAGGATGCTGTAGTTTTTAGAACCGTAATGTGGACAGTTAGAGAGGAAATGGGTGGGAGATTTATTGTTTCTCGCTTATCTACCTTATGTCTGGTACATTAAAATGACATCCTGTTATGATGAAAATAAAAATCGAGAAGGAAAAAGAAACTGAGAAATCAAGGGTAACAATGACAGAGCATGCACCACAACAAAAGGTGTTTCGAAACGAACACACGCTTTGCAGCGTGATGCACAAACACTGACAGAGCAAACCGCACTTCGAACGGGAAATACAGGATCTTATTACAGTCACACGCGCTGGCAGATTCTGACTACCTCAATTTCGGATTTATCGTGAAGTACTGACACTAAAATTCACACAAATGGTTTTGAAACTTAAGGAGGAAGTGACACCTGATTAGCGCTCTGTGAGATCTAATCTTCAGTACCAAGAATTGAACCATCTTGGAGCTGCTGTACTATAACTTGTCTAGACAGGTGAATGTGAAATAAAGTATTCGGCACAGTAGTTTGCCCTATAATGGGGTGTAAATAAAACTATTCATAGTAGTTACTGTCTGTTTTTGCTCCGATAACTAGATAAAGTTAAAACAAAGCCACAACGGATTCGCTGCAACAATTTGTTTTTTGAACAAATTGGTTGAATGATTCAATGACTCGTTCAGGCAGTTCTTCTAGTTTCGTTTCTGATTGAACAAATCATTTGAATTGATAGTTCAATGACTCACTCATAAAGACGGTCATTTGTCGCCACCTATATATATCCTGCAGAATAGCTACAAAAGCAGACAAGTAAACCCATACGAAAACGAATCATGGTTTTACAACAAATAAAACAAAAAAAAACAATTATTGTAGTTAAACCATAGTGTCACGAATCCGGTCTATGAACTTTCAATTCACTCACCACCAGAGGTCACCCTTCCATTACATTGATTCTCGCACTACACAAACTGTTGCATGTCATCCCGGACTACATATCCCATCATCCATTGCACTGATTGCACACAGCTGTAACCAATCACACATTCACTATATAACACTCACTCTGATCCCTTTCAAACTGCTGAGTATTGTTTAGCGCATATCACTCACCTAGCGATAGCTACTCTATGGAGCAAGTTCTAGTTTTCATTGTTTAGTCTTACTCTTGCCTTGCCTGTTTTCTCGTGTTCTGATTCCTGCCTGTGTTTCTCGGATTGCCCTTTTGTCTGGCCGTTCGGACTCTGTTTGCTCCTGCCTGGACTATTGCTCGTGTTATTGGATTTCCCTTCTTGTCAAGCCCTCTGGAGAACGTTTGCTGCCGACTGATTCGCGCCCGTTTTGGATTACTCTTCATCTTGCCCTCATATACCTGTTTGCCATTGTCTGAACCTTGCCTGTTTTATGACCACGCCTTTAAATAAAAGCTTTGCAGATGGATCCGCACGTCTCTAGTCTCGTCGGCTCCGTGACACATAGTAACCACAAATTAACCATTTTTTGCTACATTAACCATAGTTTAACCATGGTGGTTGTAGTAAAACTGTGGTTATACAAATGGTAATCAATCCGCTAAAACAAACAAACATGGTTGTTAAAATGGCTGTTGTTAAAATATTGTATTAATTAATTCAAAATAAAACTCTAAAAGCCAAACAATTTGTTTTAAATTCTATATGTGAATTTAGGCATCACACCATTATATTGCACAGTAGAAAAATCAATATTCATTTTTAGATGATTATATGTATATGTACTACAATTATATGTTTTATTAACATTTTATTAATGTTTTTATTTTATATTGTCCGCTTTCATTTTTAATTTACTTAAAGTTCTAGCCTTGGTGTTTATCTCGTCTTTTTTTAAATGTCAAATTTTTTATTTCAGTTTTAGTAATTTTAGTACAGTTATTTTAGTTCAAGATAAAATAAATGAAAACGTGTTGTCAACTAGCTTTTTTTTAGTTAACTATAATAACCATGTTTGAAATTTGTTAGATATAACAATGTTATGAAATTCTTAGTGCTTTCAATTAATAGAGTTGCTCTATTAATTAGATGTTAGATGAGGGCAAATGTAGTCCAGATCAAGGAAATAAACAAGTACAATGAATTAGTCTACTCATATTTATAATGCATCCCAATTCTATTATTTATGCCATTCTGTGACGTTTTCTGTCTTTGTCATTGTCTCTCAGAGTGCAGGTGTGTGCAGGAGAGTGAAGAGTTAGTGATTAATGCTGTGGCCACCATCAACAACCTGTCTTTCTACCAAGGCGAGAGCTCAGTGGTCCGTTCCCAGCACACACACATCTCACAGTGTAAGACGAGTGTGTGTGTGCCTGTATGTTGCATCTGTCTTGGTCCTTCAGTAATGTCCCCCTCCTGCCTGTCCTTCTGTCATTGCAGTGCTACTAAAACTCTTGCTGAGCTCCAGTATGGATGCTGTTTTGGAGGCCACACGCGTGTTTGGAAATCTGTCGCAGATCAAAGACATGAGACACTTCATCATGCAGCACAAAGGAGTGAGACACTCTCTCTGACACTTTTTCTCTCTCCAAACCCCCAGTGGCTGACGTTTGTGTTGATCTTTTGTGTCTCAGTGGAGCAGTATGTGGTAACCCTCCTGGACTCCAAGACCCCTGATGTGTGTTTCTCTGCATGTGGAGTTCTCATCAACCTATCTGCAGATCCAGAAAACAGGGCCATGCTGAGGGCCACGGGAACCATTCAGAAGTAACTCGCCTCTCTCTTGAGTGTGCTTTCAACTTGTAAGTGTACTGTAATATGTATTTAGTACTATGCATTCTCTCTCTCCATAATGCAGGCTTATTGACTGTCTGCGTGACTTCGGGCCTCAGGACTGGCATTTGGCTGCTGTGGTGTGTCAGACTCTGTGGAACTGCTCTTTAGATGGAGAGCTGCAACACACTCAAGAGCTGTTGGAGATCTTGCGGCTCTACACTGGTACATAAACACACAAGCATCAGGACTGGCATTATAGTATGCTAATTTGGTAGAATGAATTACAAAAAAGTGATCAAAGTAATTGCTTGCAACAGTCAAAGATATTGAAATAATGCATGTGTACATGGAAAATAATTTAAATAACAAATTTCACTAATTAATAAAATAGATCTATAATATACATTATATTGTATTATATTATATTAATACAAATATTTACATATATATTTAAAGTTATATATACACACAGACATGCATATTATATGTGTGTGTGTGTGTAAATATTTGTATTAATAATATAAAGTAATATAATGTAATGTGTATTATAATTCTATTTTATTAATGACATTTGTTATATATATATATATATATATATATATATATATATAGTAAAATACATATGTATACATTATAATACATTATTAATTATTATTTATTTAAATTATATGAATTCAGTTGACAGCAAGTTTGGTATGTACAAATATGACTAAGAAATCACTTTTGGTCAAATGGTTAAAATTTTTGTATGAACATAATGTAGACATTTTGTCCTGTGTTTTGGACAGACAGAGGAGCTTTGCAGTGGTCTTCTGATGATGGAGTCAGACAGGTTCAGGAAGCATGCTGGGAGCTGCTCTTTTTGCCTGTAGCTGAGAGGCTTAGACAGTGTTTTTATATTGAAGACACTACTGGCATCATTCCGTAAGCTCCACTGACACACTTCTCCTCTCCAGATGTCACGCTTGTCTGTGTGTATACAGTGGGTACGGAAAGTATTCAGACCCCCTTAAATTTTTCACTCTTTGTTATATTGCAGCCATTTGCTAAAATCATTTAAGTTAATTTTTTTTCCGCATGTACTGTATGTACACCTACAAGCTGAGGAATGAGTCGGTGTGTATATTGCACTTTAATACAATGTCACTTTTGATATTGTGAACATAGGGAATTTGTCAATTATGACCAACACATTTTTAAAATAAAATAGTTCAAATGTTTATTACACAACCTTATGCTGCTGTATAGGAGAAAGCATGAATTGTGTCGGACAGAAGGCAAGCCTATGTTCATAAACACCAAACTAATGTACATGCAAAGATCACTCAACAGCATCTCCGTGATCTCAAAGATTTTATTTAACAGACACTTCCAGAAAAGTCTGTAAGGAACACAGAATAGAAACATTGTCATACTTCCTTAATACAATCACATCAAACTGATATATTATGGCACTGGCTTCCCTCCTTTTAACAGGTTACACTTCACAGCTACAATCTATACATTAATATGAAGTTTACAAAGCTGCCCTAGAGGTCATTTACATACATGCTTAAAACCAATGACCAAAATTGGATTGTGAAGTTTATTCAAATCACTCTTTACTGCGATTTAACGTTTTCCTCTGTCTCCATCATGTGAAGTCTGAAGCGGTTTAACAGGGATTTTTTTCAGATATTTTATTAAGAGGGGAACCCAACTTCTCGCATTATTCTTTTAAAATGAGCATCAATTAGCCTACGGTGATTTCCATTTAATAGCCAATTACTGGCACTAAATGACCACCAGCCTCATAACCACAAACAGGGAAAATTTCCTTATGGTTCCCAGGTCAACAATGTTTCTTTCTTTAATCCTCACTGTAAGAGGACGAATTGCCGCGTTCAACGTTGTGTTTAAATCATTAGTGCACAGCAGGGGATGCTTTTCTATAGGCCTGTAGTGTCTGTGCTGATATATCACTTTGCTACAAGGGTCTCTGCTGGTGGGTGGAAGTTCATGGACATAAAACATTGATTATGTGACCTAAAGCTATATAAATGATATCTTAAAGTGTGTTATTGTTAATTAGCACAAATATAACCGTCAGTTCTCGTGGTATAAGGTGCTTGGACTGTTAAAATCTTATTTAATACTGAATGTTTGGTGTAATGCATCATCCTAATGTGTACTTTTTGGGAAGAAAACAGAAAGTTTGATTAAATTACAAATGATACAACCAGTGAAATACCATGTTTTATTTTTTTAAACAAATTATTTCTTAAAAAATTGTCAGTAACTGACATCAGTCGCTCAAGTCTGACTTAAAACCTCCTCATATCCATCTCCAAAAGAAAAAGTACCATCCCTCTAGTCCTGCCATCATCAGAATGCAGTACTTAACTGGTTTAGTAAACAAAAAGACAGCAGAGAATCCACTCCGCTTGATAAGAAAACACATGCGCACACACACACACACTCAAAACAAAACGGTTTAGTTACACTGGTTAAAGTTCTGATACTGAGAACAAGCATGGTTTAACCCCACAAGCGTGCGGGTCGCCTGGTTCAGCGTCTAGCTCTGGACAGACTGTAGCGCATGACAGGCAGCCACGTAAGACAAAGTTCTGCTCACTAGACAGCACTTAGATATTTATGGATAAATAACAGGAGTTATTTAGTAATAATAAACCCCAAAATAATGGCCGTGCATTCAAAGGAAGACAGATAAGGCAGATGGATCAGAGCAACAGGAAGCACATCACAAAAGGAAGACCTTTCTGCTTTGAAAGTCACTAACACAGATAAAAAAAGATAGAAAATGGTCATCAAAAAAAAATGGCTACATAAAAGCTGAAGCTTAACATGGTTTAAAAAAGTGCTTTGATATTTTTAATGTGTGAAACCCCAAAAAGAGCCTATGTTTGGATTTTTTTTCTCTATTCCCCCAATAGCATTCACACATTGGAAATGTCACAATGAAACAAAGTGGTGTCTTACAGTAAACTCTAACAAGGGCTCAGACAGCTATTACTTTTGAATTGCGCTCTCTCACTCACACTAACACAATCGTTCCTGGATTAGCTTATATAAATGGGTGATGGTTTGGGTGTCTTGAGGCCTCTCAATTGAGAAAAGCAGCATGAACAGACGGCACCTCAGCATCTGTTGCCAGTGCTGCGCATGACTAGGCACGCGTTTATGTAAAATCAGTAATGCTTCTATCTCTAGCCACTGCTGAACAAAAAATAAAAACAATATGGAAAAAAAACACTAGTAGATAGTCATGTTAGTGCAGTCTTTCTGCACAGGCGCTGGAGTTGCCATTTGTGTGTGTGTGTGTTTTTTAAAATCTCATCTCACAAAAAGAAGATATGATTATATGGCATCTTATCACAGATGCATTTGAAATACTAAAGGAGGTCTGGCCTCCAGAAGCTCGCAGTCTCAGCTTGTCCTCTTACACACTAGAGGGATTCTGCTCAGATGGCCCCACTCCCCCCAGTGGCCAGTTTTGGCACCGCAGGCTGAGCAGCCACACAAGTGATTCAGCAAGTAGGTTCAGTTGACAGTTGTTTTTTTTTTCCTTCTTTTAACAAAACAACCTTGTCATCGCCCTCCGCCGCCCGTTCTTCTTCTTCCTCAGTTTTATTTTTTCCATTTTTTTGTCATTTTTAAGTTTATTCAAGTGTCCAACGTCAACAACAGTAAAAAAAAATTAAAAAGGTAGACAAGAACAGCACTTCATGTCATGTAGCGAGTGATAGCTCTCAGAGCGTAGAGCAGTTCTGCCTGCATGTGCGCTTCCATAAGAAGCAAATTAATGTGGACCTGAAAGACAAAATAAAAGAATCATTATTAACTTGTACTGGGATGATTTAACCTTCAGAAAGAACCTGTTGTCTGTTAATTTTTTTGGTCTGAAGTGCTTCTTACTTTCTCAGAGTGCTGGAACTGCCTCCAGAAGCTGTCGTACATCCTCTTGGTGATCTTCTCTGGAGTGCGCACCATAGTTTTGATGTAGACTTTAAAACTGCGGTCTAGCAGTTGGTTAATTTCTCCATAATCATAATCATCGTACCTGTCGTGTATTAGACAGAGAAAGAAATATACCTCAGCAATATGATTTAAATAACTAAATACAACTAATATCTATATAATATCTAAACAAATTTGACTTACCGAATCCCGAACATGCAGTGGATGTAGTTCCAGATGGCTCGACGAAGCATGGAAGTGTCCACACCCTGGTGTGTCGCCATTGTGTTGTACGTCAGATTGTACGCGATCTGGAACTTTTCATCCAGAAGCTGTCCAAAATCCGGATACAGCCGATTCACAAGGGAAAAGCCATGATCTTCCCAACTATAGTCCTGTCAAGGGCAGAAAATATCAGATTTTTGTTATTTTAGTCCTCCATTTTCTTTCGACTACCAATGGCAACAAGCAAGACAATGCGACTTTCTTCTCACCTGCACTCTGAGGGTGGGTACATGTTCTCCTCTTCTGTAAAAGTCCTTGTAGCCATAACTAGGGTCTTCGAAGTGTCGTGAAACATCTCTGGATGGTATACATTCCTCGTCCTCTGTTGATCAAACATGTTGTTTTAACAAAAGTCATCCTGGAATTGTTGTATGAAACAAACCTAAAAAAAAAAAATCCACTTACCAGAGGTGACCACCAGCATGCTCTCGGTCTTCTCCCTCTCAAAACGAGTGGCCATTTCCTCCTGACTGGCTTCCTCTTCGTCATGACATTCCTGGAGCTGCTTCATCTTCTCCATCAGCACTTCCACCTCACCAGACAACTCAGACACCTAAACACATGCATACAGGAATCTAGGTCATCACAAGTTTAATGTGCACTCTATGGTCAGGAATTTGAACCTTGCACTCCATGCATTCCACAGATCCCTTTTCAGGATGACTGGATGGAAGACTAGCAAATATTAGAAAATCTTCTTTGAATACATTTCCCTTTGTCTCACCTGCTGGTTCCCAAACATCTCCTCTAGGGCACCGTTGCCATTGGCAATGTCACAAACGCAGTAACCGCTGAGCGAGGGTGGCCTGAACGTATGTCCTCCATCTGTGTGGATGTCAGGGTTGATGCCGCAACCAAACGTAAAGGAGGCCAGAGAGTGATAGAGTGTGAGTAGCACCACAACATGGATCAGCTCGGCCAGTGACCAGCTGTGCTCCTCTGCCTTCAGTAGACGCTGTTAAAAAATGTTTTTATAAGGTTAAATGAAATGTAATAGTGTCCATAACAAAGAAAAGGAAAAAGATTTGAAAAGTCTAATTCTTAGAAATGTACTCTTGGTATTCAGGTGGTTTTGAAAAACATTTTCAAGAAAAGTTTACGTTTAATGACTCGTAACCATCAAGTAAAAAGTGATAGCATATTTTCCATTCACAGGGAATACATGTGAGTGCACACAACTTATTTACTGTTTTCAATTTTTTAAGGCAAGGACTTTTCTTTACAAATATGAATTATTCATTCATAAATATCCCAATTTTAGGGGGAATCACACATTTGACAAATATTTTCAAATATTAAAACATTAAGCTGTGAAGCATTTTTCCCCCAAAGGAATATTACATAAAACTATTAAATACAACTTTCTTTTCAAGAATTTCAATCTTTAATTAGACTTAAAAAAAAAAAGATATTATGATATTATTTCTACTTGACATTTTTCATATTAGGCACCCCAAATAATATCCAAACAAATATTTATTCAGAAATTAACATGCTTTTAATTTATGGAATTTAATCAACATGATTTTAATAAATTAACATACTTTTAATTCAATTTATGCTCATCAGAGAATAGGATCATTCAAATCACTGTATGTTAAATAAATGCGCAGATTTGCCACACAAAAAAAAACAATGCCATGTAAAAGGCACATATTATTGTCTCTAACAGCATTATAAAACTTCTTTGCGCTTGTTAGAGTTGCGTAACAGCTGTAGGTGAGTATCCATG